TATGTTTTATTAGTAATGTAGCTTATGTTAGTTAGTTACTAGTTAGTTATCGGTTAGTTAATGTATTATTAGTGGGAGTTAGTTAGTTAGTGAGTTTAAGTTAGTTAGTTGTTATTAGGACTAAGTTATGTACGTTGAGTTAGTTGAGTAAGCTGGTATTCGTAGTTAGTTAGTTAGTATTTAGTTATGTGATTTAGACTTATGTAGGTAGTTAGTTAGTGGGAGTAGTTGTCCGCGTCGTCATCCGTCACCAGGGGCATCCGAAGCGTTTCTCTAATCTAAATTTCAATTTCCTCTTAGCAAGTAAATCGATTGTTGTCGTCGAATAGGCAGATAAAAATATTATTTACGTTCATCAATTAACGCTCATCTGTTGTCAAATGCCGCTTTCTGCCCACTTTACATGATAAACCATTGTGTGAACATCTCCTCGTCCCTACGGCACATTCGCTATTCGGGTATCGACAGGTGAGAATGTAGAAGGTTTTTTTGTGACTAGCAAGCATGACTTGAACACTCGTATGAACGTTGTTATTGTGCCTAATAGTGCGCACACGACTGCCGCGGCAACATGTTGTAAACACAATAATACCGAATAAGTTTTTTCGCTATTTCATGCGACAACGCTTTTTTGCGCGAAATCCTCTTTGTAAGTCTCTACACATTAATCGAGTTACTTGTCTGCCAATCATCGCATGCTTCTCGAAAAGTTTCGAGCTGGGGATTTTTCGTCATCCCTCCCGCGGCTTCTTCACCTAGCCCCACTCTCCCGCCGAGAATTCTGGTTCGATTTCGCAAATTCTCGGAGTAATAAAGGAAAGAGAGAAAGCGAAAAGAGAACAGAGAGAGAGAGAGAGAGAGAGAAGAGAGAGAGCGAGAAAGCGAAGAGAGAGAAAGGATTAGAGAGGAGAGAGAGAGAGAGAGAAGGAGAAAGAGAGAAAGCGAGAGAGAGAAAGCGAGAGAGAAAAAGAGAGAAAAAGCGAGAAGGGAACGAGAGAGAGAGAGAGAGATAAGCGGAGGATAGAGAGAGAGAGAGTAGAAGAGAGAAGAAAGAAGAAACAGAGAGAGAGAGAAAAAAAAAGAGAGAGAGAAAGCGAGAGAGAGAAAGCGAGAGCGAGAAAGCGAGAGAGAGAAAGGAGAGAGAGAGAGAGAGAGGAGGGGGGGAGAGAGAAGAAAGAGAGAGAGAGAGAGAAGAGAGAGAGAGAGAAGAGAGAGGAGAAGAGAGAGCAGCGAGAGAGAAGAAGAGAGAGAGAGAGAGACGAGAGAGAAGGGAAGAGAGAGAGAGAAAAGAGAAAGCTGAAGAGAAAGAGAGAGATGAAAGAGAAAGAGAGAGAGAGAGAGAGAGAGAGGAGAGCGAGAGTCGAGAGAGAAGTAGAGACGAGAGAGAGTACGAAAGAGAAAGAAGAGAGAGAGAGAGGCGAGAGAGAGAGAGAGAAGAGAAAAGCGACGAGAGAGAGGAAGAGAGAGAAAGCGAGAGAGAGAAAGCGAGAGAGAGAGAGAGAGAGAGTAGAGACGAGAGAGAAATGCGAGAGAGAGGGAGAGAAGAGAAAGCGAGAGAGAGAGAGAGAGAGAGAGCGGAAAAGAGAAGGAGAGAGAAGAAAGCGAGAGAGAGAAGCGAGAGCAGAGAGAGAGGAGAGAGAGGACAGCGAAAGAGAGTAGTAGAGAAAGTCTAGAGAGTGGGGGAGAGAGAGCAGAAAGCGCGCGAGATAGAGAGAGAGAGTAGAGAGAGAGAGAGTAGAGAGAGAAACGAGAGAGAGAGAAAAGCAGAGAGCGAGAGAGAGAAAGCGGAGAGAGAAAGAGAAGCAGAGAGAGAAAGAAAGAGAGGAGAGAAGAAGAGAGCGATGGAGAGAAGATGAGAGAAGAGAGAGGGAGAAGAGAGAGAGAAAGCGGGAGAGAGATAGAGAGAAAGTCGAGAGAGAGAAAAGCGAGAAGAGAGAGAGAGAGAAAGCGAGAGAGAGGAAAAAAAAGAGAGAGAAAAAGCGAGAGAGAGAGAGAGAGAGAGAGAGAGAGAGAGAGAAGACGAGAGAGTAGAAACGGGAGAAGAGAGAGAGAAGAGAGAGAAAGAAACGAGAGAGAGAAAGCGAAGAGAGAAGGAGAAGAGAAGAGAGAGAGAGAGAGAGAGAAAAGAGAAGGAGAAAAGAGAACGAGAGAAGAGAGAGAAGAGAGAGAGCATAGAGAGAGAGAGAGAAGAGAGAAGAGAGAGAAGAGAGAGCGAAGAGAGAGAGAAAAGATAGAGAAATAGAATAGAGAGAACGAGAGAGAGAAAAGAAGAGAGAGAGAGAGAGAAAGAGAAGCAGAAAGAAGAGGAGAGGAGAAGAGGGAGAGAGAGAGAAGAAAGCGAAGATAGAGAGAGAGAGAGAGAGAAGAGAAAGAGCGAGAGAGATGAAAACGATAGGAGAGAGAGAGAGAAAGACGAATAGAGAATAGGAGAGAGAAGAGCATAGAAAGAAGGAGAGAGAAAAAAAGACGAGAGAGAGAGAGAAGGAGAAGCAGAGAGAGACGCGACGAGAGAAACGAGAGAGATGAAGAGAGAGAGAAGAAAGAGAAAGAGAGAGAGAGAGAGAGAGAGAGAGAGAGAGAGAGGAGAGAGAAAGACGGAGAAAGAGAAACAGAGAGAGATGAGACGAGAGAGAGACAGAGAGAGAGAGACATGAAAAAAGAGAGAGAGAGAGGAGAGAATCACTCACTACCGCTAAGCACTATAAAGAAGTCGAGGCGGTCCAGTTCTGACAGTACGTCATCGCGTCGAGAAACCAGCCCAGCACCTGCAACCACATCAGTATTATTAATTATACAATAATTAATATAAATTATAAATATAAATTAATAAATAATACTAATAATATAAGATAATAATAATACATAATAATAATATAATATAATAATTAAATAATAATAATATAACAAATAATAATAAAGAATAAATAAATTAATCAATAATAATAATTAATAATAATAATAATAACAATAATATCATAAATAATAAATAAGTATTAGAAATTAACAATTATTAAATTATTAATCATAGGACCAGTATCACAGTGTGACGTGCCTGTGTGTTGTGTGTTGTGTGGTGTGGGTTGGTGTGTGTGTGTGTGTGTGATGTGTGTGTTGTGGTTGGTGTGATTGGTGTGTGTGTGGTGTGTGTGTTGACATTGTGTGTGCTGTGTGTGTGTGTGTGTGTGTGGTGTTGTGTGTGGTGTGGTGTGTGTGTGGTTGTTAGTGTGGTGGGTGGGTGTGGGGGGAAGAGTGTTCATACAGAGTTATCATAGACATATTACAACGTGTTGGTGTGTTGTGGTGGGTGGGGGGGCGGGGGGGGTGGTTAAAGTTTTTATTAGAAGCGATATTAGCAAAACGTGGTTTAGTACGTTCCACACCATTCTACGGTCATTATTGCCCGCATATTATATAAAATCAATACAATGAATAATGCACTAGTTACCTCCAGGCGTCTCACAAAGTACGGCGATGTGCTGCACGGCGCGCACGTGTTGTTGTGTGTCGTGCCGTGCGTGCATGCGTGCGTGCGTGCGTGGGTGTGTGTGGGTGGTAGTTGCGTGGCGTGCGTGCGTGTGTCTGTGAGTGTGTGTGTGATTGTGTGTGTGTTTGTGTATTGTGTGTGTGGTGATGTTGTTGTGCGTGTGTATCTGTCGGCGTGCGTCGCGCTGCGTGGGGTGGTTGGGTGCGTGTGCGTGTGTGTGGCTGTGCGTGTGCATGTGTGTGCGTGCTGCGTTGTGTGGTTGTGTGTGTGTGTGTGTGTGTGTGGTGTGTGTGTAGTTTGTGTGGGTGCCATGTGTGTGTGTATGTGTTGTGTTCATGTGTGTGTGTGTGTATGTTTTGTGTGTGTATGTTTGTGTGTGTGTGTTGATGGTGTTGTTATGTTTTGTGTGTGTGTGTGTCATGTGTGTGTGTGTATGTTTGTGTGTGTATGTTTGTCTAGAAACATATGGTATCTTCACGCGATCTCTCTCTTTCTGTCCATATCTCTCTTTCTCTCTGTCCATCTCTCTCTCTCTCGCGCTCTCCTCTCCCGGTCTCTCTCTCTCTTCTCTCTCTTTCTGTCCATATCTCTCTTTCTCTCTGTCCATCTCTCTCTCTCTCGCGCTCTCCTCTCCCGGTCTCTCTCTCTCTTCTCTCTCTTTCTGTCCATATCTCTCTTTCTCTCTGTCCATCTCTCTCTCTCTCGCGCTCTCCTCTCCCGGTCTCTCTCTCTCTTCTCTCTCTTTCTGTCCATATCTCTCTTTCTCTCTGTCCATCTCTCTCTCTCTCGCGCTCTCCTCTCCCGGTCTCTCTCTCTCTTCTCTCTCTCTCTCTCTCTGTCTGTCCATATCTCTCGCTCGCGCTCTTCTCTCCCAGCCTCTCTCTTTCGCCGTATCTATGTCTCTCGAGCCCTTTTTCGTGCGCATGCGCTCTCAATCTCTCTCTTCGACGCTGATGCTATCGAAGCTAGCTTGATATTTACAAAACCTGCACGTGCTTTTATGCTTTACCGATAATTGTGTTTCTCCCAATTATTCGCTCACGGAGACTACGCTTCTACAGTGAACAGCTTGCTTGCATTGTGCCCCGATCTCAAACTTTTTCAGCGAATCAATGTTTGCATTTCTCATTTACCTCGCCACGTGGTGCCACGTGACTCTTCTGCGAAAGAGTTAAGGTGCTCTTGGTTGAAACTCGAGAAAGAGGTATTTCAACACCGATCATACGTCAAATTGCGTGGAGAGAAGAAGGTTTCGCTCGCCCCTCTCGATGCCTGTCTCCCTCCCATACCCGTCATATTTGGACAGTAGTTGGAAAGAGTTGAAATGCTCTTGGCTGAAACTCGACGAAGGAATTCAACACCGATCATACGTCAAATTTCAGCGCGGATCATCAAAGATGTTTTGCTCACGTCTTTCGATTTCTGTCTGCGTTCCACACCCGTCATATTTGGACAGTAGCTGAAGAGCTATTTTAACTGAGGGGGAACAGTATGTCTGTGCTTTCTCTAGAGCGTACGAAACGTGGGTTGTCTCAGTCCTAACCCATATGAAAGCTCCTGTGTTTATAATAATTATATAGAAATCCTGTTTTATCAAAACCAGAGGAAATATTGATTTCTTCAAGCCGCAAAGAATACGGGTTTCTTTAAGCCACACACGAACCGATTTGTTGAGATCACAAGACAGTTGGCCTGTCAACGGTTTCGTCTAGATTCTAATAAACGATGGTTTTGTCTTATAAACTACACCGCTGACAGACTATTGTAAAACGTTTATCAGTGTTTACACACATGCCGACCACACACTGCCATCCTTGCCAGTAACTCCTCCACCGCCTTCTCACTGCACGTGTAAGAAGGAGTCTTCCTGTAGTCTCCCCTATAGCGTAAAACTCCAGTACACGCCCTGGTGCTCTCACCCTTCCACCCCCCCCCCTCAAAAAAATGTCGTGCGATACTAGATGTATAAGATATAATAATACGTGAGATGTCTGTAGTACTGGGGGTTTAAAGACTCGTAGGAGGAGGAGGAGGAGGAGGAGGAGGGGAGGAGGAGGGGGAGGAGGGGAAAGAGGAGAGGGAGGAGGAGGAAGGGGAGAAGGAGGAGAAGGAGGGGGAGGAGGATGAGGAGGATACAGCTGTATGTAGTACAGTGTGGGTTTAAAGACTCGTAGAAGGAGGAGGATGAGGAGGATGGGGAGGGGAAGAGGAGGAAGGGGGAGGAGGAGGAGGGGGAGAAGGAGGAGAGAAAGGAGGGGGAGGAGGAGGGGAGAAGGAAGAGAAAGGAGGCGTAGAAGGAGGAGGATACAGCGGCGGTGAAGAGACAGCTACAGCTCTCTAGGCTGCACGCGCCGGCGAGCATCGCAAACATTAAAAGTCACTACGGCGCCTGAACGACGCGAAAATCGCCAACAGCAGTTTAGAAAGCAAACAATTTCGAAGCGAGAGAGATTGCTCAAGCCTTAGTCGCAATTGAATAACGCTATATATATATATATATATATCTCTTTAAAATTGAATATATATATATATGTGTATATATACATACATATATATATATATATATATATGATTTCAAATACTTAGAACGTCTGTGCTCTGCTATTACTTAAGATTCTTACGAGCTGACTATGACCCAGATTTGACGGAAGGAGATGAAGCGGAAATAGAAATTATATATTGAAAACAATGCCTCAAACTATACGCATCAGTTGGCAACCACACGCAGATCTGATTACGACACGTGTATAGACCTTTTCGCCAGATTTAAACATGCTATATAATATGCAGACCTGCTCATTATCTATATGCACATTTCACTTTGTTGTGTGAGTGTATTGTGTCTCTGTTAACAATTTATATTTTATAAAGATTCTCCATTAGCATATCAGCACAATATATTTCTGCTATTCAGAACGTTTTACGCAAAATATTTTCTTCCCGAGTGCACAGGTAACAAACAATCCTCGCGCTCCCATCCCACCCCGCGTGCAAAAAAAACGAACACATGAACGCTCATGTCGGTGATTGCGTTCGTAGCGCCATGCAGCGGCCTGATCAGTAACAATGTTGTTCTTTTGTTTCACAGTTCCGTCGAGTACTGCTTGGATATGGAGAATATGAATCTGTCGGCCATTAGGACTATTAGAGTGCTTCGACCGTTGCGTGCCATCAACAGGATTCCCAGTAAGTTCGCGCGACTGGTGGCAGTCTAACGACGGCGCCACCTAACGGCATTCTCCGACTCTACTGGGATTCACCGAACACACTTTTTAACTTTGCCTCTCCCTCCACATCTTCCTTATCCCTCCTATCTTCCTTCACGACAACACCTCCCTCTTCCTTCTCCTTCTCCCTCTCCCCATTTCCACCTCTCTCTTCCGTCTTTCTCTCTCTCTTTCTCTCTCTCTACTCATCTTCAGTCTTCGACTCTCTCGTGGTCTCTCTCTCTCGGATCTCCGTCTCTCTGCTGCTCTCTCTCGATCTCTTCCTCTCTCTCAGTCGTCTCTCGTCGTGCTCTGCTCGTCTAAGTTCTTACTCTACTCTCTCGTCTCGTGTCCTCGGTCTCTTCTCTCCGATCGCCTCGCGCGGTGCTCCGTGTCTCTCGTCGCGGTACGTCTCTGCATGTCCTCTGCTCGTCTCATGGTCGTCCTCTCGTCTCAGACTCTCGGGTACTTCTCTTCTGTTCTCTGCTCTCTGCGGATGCGCTGGCTCTCGTCGTCTTTCTCTCTTTCTCTGACCCTCAGTCCCTCTCGTCGTCTCTCTCTCTCTCTCTCTCGTCTCGTTCTCTCTCTTTCGTTCTCTCGATTCTTTCTCGTCTTCTCGATCAGCTCTCTCTCGGTCTGCTCCCTAGCTCTCTCCCTCTATTTCTTGGTTCTGGGTTCTCTCTCTCGCTCTCGTCTGCTGCGTCGTGTCCTCCTTGTCTCTTCCCCCTCTCTCTCTCTGTTCTCTCTCTCTCTC